GCAGACTCACCTCAGCCTCCCAAAGGCGCAGGATTACAGGCTGAGCCACTGAGCCCAGCTGACTACTCATATTTTAAAAACTGGTGACAGAGTTGTCAACTTTTAATTTTACTAAAGACATTAAAACAATCAACTACCAGCCATTTATCCCCATTTTATAAAATAAAGGAGTTTTTATTTATTTATTTATTTTTTTGAGTTGGAGTCTCACTCTATCGCCCAGGCTGGAGTGCAATGGCCTGCTCACGGCCACCGCAGTCTCAACCTACTGGGTTCAGGTGACCCTTCCTCCTCAGTCTTCCAAGTCGCTGGAACTACAGGCACGTGCCACCATGCCCAGCTATTTTTTAAAAAAATTATTGTAGAGATGAGGTCTTGCCAAGTTGCCCAGGCTGGTCTTGAACCACTGGGCTCAGGCAGTCCTCTTGCCTTGTCCTCCCAAAGTGCTGGGATTACTTGCTTGAGCCATCGCGCCTGGCATAAAGGACTTTTTAACAACAACAACAACAGCAGCAGCAGCAACAACAACAACAACAAAATAGCCCCTGTCATTTCTCAATAAAGAATGAACTATAAGTGAAAAACATTCAGCTTTACAAAGAACTGTGAACTACCTGATTGTTCTCTTTTTTTAAAATATGGAATGTTCCACGAAATTACATGTCATCCTTGTTGGAATCACCTGGGAAACTTTTAAAACCTGATGTGGAGAACACTGACCCCATTTCTCTAGAGTCGGTATTTCCTGGGGTGGAGGAAACCTTGGATGTCTGGATGCCACCATAGAGACTTAGTCTTGGGAGTCTCCTCATGAGATTTCATTTTGTAACAAGCTGAGAATCATCTGTGTCGTCCAGACCCCTTCCAATGCATGAACCCCAAGTATAGCATCTCTACCAGGTCATTGTGCAACTGACACAAGTGGCCTAAATATTTGAGAGATTCCCATCTTTTTATTTTTTTATTTTTTGAGTTGGAGTCTCACTCCGTCGCCCAGAATGGAGTGCAGTGGCCACTCCCGGCCACCGCAGCCTCGACCTGCTGGGCTCGGCGATCCTTCCGCCTCAGCCTTCTGAGCAGCTGGAACTACAGGCATGCGCTACCACAACTGGCTAACTTTTAATTTATTGTAGAGATGAGGTCTTGCCAAGTTGCCCAGGCGGGTCTCGAACCCGCGGGCTCAAGCAATCCACTTACTTAAGCCTCCCAAGGGCGCAGGATTATAGGCTGAGCCACCGAGCCTGGCTTCATCTTTTTTTTTTGAGTAGGAGTCTCACTCTGTCGCCCAGGCTGGAGTGCAGTGGTATGTTCAAGGACACCACAGCCTCGGCCCACTGGGCTCAAGCAATCCTTCTGCCTCAGTCTTCCAAGTAGCTGAAACTACAGGCATGTGCCACCACGCTCAGCTAGTTTTTAGATTTATTGTATAGATGAGGAGTTGCCCAGGCTGGTATTGAACCCGTGGTCTCAGGCAATCCTCTCTCCTCCGGCTCCCAAAGTGCTGGTTTTACAGGTGTGAGCCACTGTGCCTGGCTGTTTCCCCATCTATCAAGTTTCCCAGAACTCTTGGGAGAAGGGATTACCTGAAGGTAGGGATCAGAGAAGGGAAGGGAACATCCATTCATTAAGTGCCTGCTGGAAACCAGGCCCAGTGCTAAGTTCTTTCTGAAATGGCATTCATTTACTCACTATTATTATTATTATTTTTTTGAGTTGGAGTCTCACTCTGTCGCCCAGACTGGAGGGCAGTGACCGCTCCTGGCCACTGCAGCCTTGACCTGCTGGGCTCCGGCGATCCTTCCGCCTCAGCCT